AGCATTTTGAACACAGACCATGATTTTGTGGGCTTCCATAAAATTCCCGGCATCTGCTACAGAGTTGCAGAGTTTCTTGTTGGCAGCTTTGCATTTGATCCATTATCGGCTGCGATCTCTGCCTCACTAGATGACTCGTCTCTAACGTACGGACTAACAACTGAACAGTTCTGATCTTCTTCTATTTTGAACGAAAGAATTTGGGAGTTTTCGAATGGAAGGGCTGAAGATTTTGCATGTATATATAGAGGGCTTTGGGTGGTTAGTAGACTAGGAATAGGATATATATGCATACATATGGTAATATGAATCAAGAACGTTGAAGGGACGAATTTTGATTGGATTGGATTTTCGTTTAGTAGAGAGAGAATTCTTAAAACTAACTGGTCAAAGACTTTGTTCAAATTTATGTTTGACATCGTATAGAAAACTTTCCTTTTATTTTGTATTAAATTGTCACTACTTTTATTCTGGTTAGTTAATCGATCCGGTAGTCCAACTTGAATGTTAATCCATAGAGGATGTTGACAAGATATTTGACGTTGGAGGACTTGGGGGGTAAAAAAATTTACTTGTTTAAAAAGTGTTTATAAACAATTTAAATTATAGATTAATAAAAATAAGTGATAAAAACGTGGATAATATTTATGGGTTGAATTGACGAATTATAAATATCTATACACATTAACCAAACATGAGCTAAAATTGTTCAATATATTTAGCTCTTATTTGGGCACCATTTTTGTTTTTTGTATTTTTTTTTTTTTTTTTTTTTTTTTGTTGTTCTTTTTTTTTTTTTTTTTTTTTTTTTTGGGGGGGGGGGGGGGGGGTGGAAGCATTTTTTTCCTTTCTTATTTTTAATGACACATTCTCTAATAAAATAATATTATACATAAATTCAAAATTTTCCGTATTAGTTAACCTCACATTCTTTAAAAAATCACTATTTTAAAAAATATTTTTCCCAAAATTTATTTTTAGTAGAGCCCTAAAAAAGGCTAAATAATGTTAGAGAGACAAAAAGAAGAGATTATAGAGAAGTGGATAGACATGCGTACGTATTTATGTTAAAAATTGTGTCAAAATTAGCCTAAGAAAGTTTAGCACATTTTTATAACTTAAAAAAGTAAACTGAGCCCAACAAACAACAAATTAGCCCAAATCACCCAAATTCATGAATTATATATAGCAATCTGTAGGGTTTTGACGTTTAGAAAAATTAAAAATCAAATTTTTTTTTTTTTTTTTGTTTGTCTAGTTACAAATTTGTACGTCGGTGTTTTTGTCAATTGAAAAGCTAGTTTAAAGAACTACGATTCTTCTAGAAAATATAATTTTCTCAATTCGAACGTTTGCTATCCAAAAAATAAGTCTCAAGTTGAGGCTAAAAATTCGAAACATAACTTATTCGCCTGGAAATTAATTTATGAAAGTACTTCAACTCTATTTCACTTCTTTGACCTTAAAATTGCACCCAATTGATCATAAGTGAACTTCAATCATCATTTTATGGTCTGAATTAAATATTGAATGTTTACACTTTGATCCCCAAACTATAGATTTCTTTCGTTTTGCCCCCCTTTTTTGTTCCCTTCATCCAATCTAAAAATTTGGAGCATAACTTCTTCGACTGGAAATTAATTTATGAAAATACTTCAACTCTATTTCACCTTTTGACCTTGAAATTGCATCCAATTGATCATAAGTGATCTTCAATCATCATTTTATGGTCCGAATCAACTATTGAATGTTTACACTTTGATCCCCAAACATTAGATTTCTTTCATTTTTGTCCCCCTTTTTTGTTCCCTTCTTCCAGTTCCATCAATTTGCATTGATTTCTACCCAACAAGCATAATTAACACATAATTAAGTTATAACTCATTCAAATAATAGACAAATACTCTAATTTATTGGCTTACGTAAGTGTACATCATCTAGCCATCAAAAAAAAAAAAAAAAAAAAAAAACTAAAATTGAATAAAATGGGCAAATTGTTGTAGAATAATTTACATATATATTGTGTCCACCATTCACACTGAACAAGGCTCTGTCTCAACACCAAAACTAGACAAGAACCCCTTTTTTCATATTGTATGATAAAATTTGTGGAATCCTGATGCAAGAGGATCCGAGTCGAGTGATGTTGATTTGTCAGATAGCACGATGAAGGCGCTGAGATACCATGAGATGGTGGATCGGCGCAAAAATGAAAAGTGAATCACCATTATTTCCTTAATTGGGGGAATTTGACGCGTCTTTAGTAATTTGGTCATGACTTTGGATACGGTTATCGGAATCGCTATTATGACCCCAATTCGGAAAGCTCTTTTCGGCCCGCAAGTCGTGGCCACCCAGCTATGCTTGGTGGACGTCAATTTCGAGCCCAAAATCCACTGTTTTCCTTTCTAAAATTCAATTTTAAGTTATTTTTTACTATTTATGGTAATATTTCGTTTCCTTTTTTCCATATGTTAGAAAACTCGAATTGAGCCAAATTTTTGGCAACTTACTTCTTTTAGTTAATATTTTATTTTGGTATAATTTTGGGATTTTGCCATTTATGGTAATTTTCCCATAATTTCGTATTTCGCAGCTATTTAACTCGACTTGTGGGTTAGTTTTCATGATTCTGCATTGTTAATAATATTGAGTTGAATTCAGAGTATTTTCTCTGGTTTTTTGGACGTTTTCTGTCGTTCTTTTCTTGCGAATCATCTGCTACAACAAGCCAATAGGATAATCACTATCCTACCCGACGTCAAATCCCATCTCAACGAACTTTTCCATATTGAAAATCTTGAAATTAATCTCAAAATACGATTCGAATTCCATATTGACTCATATCATAAGGGTTGGACCTATAACGGCAAATAAAAAAAGCAAAAATATTCCTCTAAATTTTCTTTCCATTTAGCAAGTTGTTTCTGATGGAGGTTATGTGATGGCAGTTTTAAAGCCTGTAATTATTACAAGAGACAGGGGCATAATAGAAATGATTGTTATAAGTTGCATAAGAAAGAAAAATTAGCAGTTGGAAATTAGAAGGAAAAACAATAAGAAACTTCAAGTGAAGCCATAATTGGTGAAGATTGTTATAAAGATGGAGAACTTTTAGTTATTTCTGTAGGTGATTCCAAACCTGAGGAAAATTAGATTCTTGATACAGCTTACACTTTTCATATGTGTCTTAATCGAAATTTGCTCTCAACATATGAAACAGATTCCAAAGGTGCTGTGGTAATGAAAAATAATTCGCCTTGCACGATTGCCGGTATTGAAAAGGTTAGAATTAAGATGTTTGATGAGACTATTAGGACACTTATTGATGTGAGCAACGTTTCTAAGTTGAAGACAAATTTTATCTCTTTGAGTACTCTTAATTTAAAAGGGTACATGTACACTTGTGCGGGTAGAGTCCTGAATGTTAGTAAAGGTTCTCGCGTTGTGCTAAAGGGATATAGGAGTTCCTAGTTATATATCTTGCTTGGCTCTACAAAATATTTGGATATAAATTAGTAGAAGTTAGGGACTCAAGTGGATTTTGAGTTTGGTACAATACCATTGGAGTTTAGTTTAGGATCCATATTAAAGCATGCATTTCAATCGAGTTCAAAAGTTTTGGGTATTGTCGGTTTGTTGTCACCACTAGTGGTGCCATTATATTCAGTTGCTATAGAGAGATCCAGAAGAAATATTAGGCCTCCACAAAGGTATGTTGAAACTGATTTCGTAGCTTAAGTTTTAAGTGCAGTCAAAGATGTTAAATCTAGCAAATAATCTTCTATAGAAGCATTTTATGTTGATTTTGTTACAGAGTATGTTTATTTCATGTTTGATAATTATTAAATTACTAGTGATTTTGTAGCTCATGGAGATAATTCAAGCAACTTTAATGCCCAAGATATTCCCGTTGAGCAGTGCTCGGATTTTATTTAGTTGAATTTTTCAGTTATTGAGTTTGCAATAGTTGGGCATTGTGGAGAAGGTGGAGAAAAATTTCTGTTAGAGGATTTTGAGGGGGATAATTTTTTGATTGAAAAATTAAGTTATATTCCTTGTAGTGGAATTTGTCTCTATGTGTGGAGTTTTCTGAAGTTTTGTTCATTGCAGTGGAATTCGGTGCAAGGCAGATATTTGTTAGAATTAGGGTATTGCACAAATTCTATTTGGAATTCTATTTGATGTCGACTCATGAATTCTAGTTAGGATTCAATTTGGGAGTTATGTTGGCACTTCAGAACTTCTGTTGGACTTGAAGAACACTTGAAGGAGTCCAATTTATAATAGGAAAAGAAAAAATCACGCAAGGGAATGGAAACGGCGAATTGATGCTTGCTACGCGACTTGGTCTTGCTCGAGCGGCCAGAACAAAAGGTTCAGCATTCGATGTCCACTAGGTGACCGTTTGATAGCCATGAGATTGCAGCCAAGCGACGAACTCTGTTCGTATTTTTTGACAGTTTTTGAGTCTTATTTCATCTCAAACACTCCATTATTGTATGGAATTGTTAAGGTTGAACTCCACCACATTTTAGGCTCTTTTTACTCTCTATGTATGTGCAGTAAACCTCTAAAAAAATCTTTATATTCTACACAATAATTTGCAATCCTTCATTATTGATATTAATAAATTTTTCTCTTCTGCCTGTGGTATATTTTAACTATGCAAATCTTGTGCTTTTGTGATTATTATTTTCATGCTGTCAGATAATACTGTTCTTTTATTTACTAATCAGGTAGTACCGTTTCAGTCCGTAATCTTCAACATCTATATGAATTAAATTTGATTTCAATTGTTATATATAATAACTCAGATGAATGTATATTTATGAAAAATTTTGTATCTACAGTTAAATGAACAATTGAGTTACGTTAGAAATTTATAGACAAACGCACTTGCTGTAAATTTACAAAAAGATGCGTTGTAAGAGGAAACAATCAACCATATCATAAATCTACAAAATTTCAAAATTAAACCAAATCTTTAAGCCCAAAATATTGTTAATTTCTTTAACTTCTTCAAATAAAAAAGAAAAGAAGTAAAAATGAACTACAGCCCTTTCCCAGTAAAGGAAAAGAAAGATACGGTAACGTATTTTTTTTCATTCTAAATTTACAACTGAGAGAGATGATACATGCCAATAGAAAGAAATCAATCCCATTATTAACTAAACAAAGAACGATGTTCCCACTTCCTAGGATGAACAAATTTAACAAGAATGTCTGCAAGGAACCTTCTCGAAATCAAGCCCTATCTATGAGTCTATCTCCTTTACAGACTGGATTTTCCTTCATCAGAATAGCCCTAGCTGGAGTCTTGTAATCAAACTTGCATGCATGTGCCTCTGGATATCTATGCATCCCACAAAAACTTCCCCCACATTTACAACCAAACCCCGTCAATCCAACCTTCTTGTTACAAGATTTACATCTGTTATTCACAATTCTAGGAGGATTAGTTTCGGTGTTAAGTGTAAGAGAATTCGTCGCATCAACCAATGGATCGATTAAAGAATTCATTGAAACTGAAGGGCTGAAGGAGGAGGAAGCAGATGTTTCCTTGAAGCACATTGTTTCTGCAGATTTAGCTATCCTTTCTTTGAGAAAATCTTGATAGCAATTTGAACACAGACCATGATTTTGTGGGCTTCCATAAAATTCCTGGCATCTGCTACAGAGTTGCAGAGTTTCTTGTTGGCAGCTTTGCGTTTGATCCATTATCGGCTACGATCTCTGCCTCACCAGATGACTCGTCTGTAACGTACGGACTAACAACTGAACAGTTCTGATCTTCTTCTATTTTGAATGAAAGAATTTGGGAGTTTTTGAATGGAATTATGGAAAGGCTGAATATTGTGCATGTATATATAGAGGGCTCTGGGTGGTTAGTAGACTAGGATTAGGAAATATATGTATACATATGGTAATATGAATCAAGAACGTTAAAGGAACGAATTTTGATTGGATTGGATTTCCGTTTAGTGAAGAGAGAATTCTTAAAACTAACCTGGTCAAAGACTTTGTTCAAATTTATGTTTGACATCGTATGGAAAACTTTCCTTTTTTTTTTTTTTTTTATCATTGTACTTTATTTTGTATTAAATCGATCTGGTAGTTTGACTTGAATGTTAATTTATGGAGGATGTTGATAAGGCATTTGACATTGGAGGACTTGGGGGGAAAAATTTTACTTTCTTAAAAAGTGTTTATAAACAATTCAAATTATAAATTAATAAAAATAAGTGATAAATACGTGGATAATATTTCTGGGTTGAATTGACGAATTATAAATATCTATAAATATTAACCAAAAATGAGCTAAAATTGTTCAATATATTTAGCCTCTATTTGGGCTCAATTTTAGGGGGGAAATGGTATTTTTTTTTATTTTTTATTTTTAACCATACATTCTGGGGGAATGGTATTTTTTTTATTTTTTTTATTTTTAACCATACATTCTTCAATAAAAAAATATTATACATAAATTCAAAATTTTCCTTATTTGTTAACTCCACATTAAAAAAAAAATCACTATTTTAAAATACATTTTCCCGAAAATTTATTTTTAGTAGAGCTCAAACAAAGGCTAAATAATTAATGTTAGAGAGACAAAAAGAAGAGATTTTAGCAAAATCAATAGACAAGTGTGTATTATTGAAAATTGAAGGTTAATCGCATATGCACGCTTAGGTACCAAAATGTGCATGCATTGACGTTTAGAAAAATTAAAAATCAAAATTTTTTTGTACCAGTTACAAATTTTTATGTCGGTGTTTATGTCAATCTAATTGTAGGAATTAATTGCCAAATGATTCTAGTATTCATGATTTTAAGCAATATACTGTTTTTTTTCTTTTGAAATTTTGAAGAATATGTATAAAGTTCAAGTAATTACAGTATATATACTTTTGTGCAATCTATATATAGTTCAAAAATTGAATTATTTTATTTATTTATGAGTCGAATATTTAAAATAGTATTAAAAATTGAAAAAAACACACATACTCAATCAAAACGCATTGCTACACTTACATATTTTAGAACTTTGGCTACAGTGATAGAATTGCTATTCACTACTGAAAACCCTGTTTGAGCCGCATTACATAAAAAAAAAAATACATTCTTAAACAATAATTTGACATCATTTCAACCACACATTCTTCAATAAAATAATATTACACAAAACCTTTTCTTATATTTTAACCACAAATTCTCTATTAATCTATTATTTGAAAATACATTTTTTAAAAATAATGTGGCTCAAACACACACCGGTCGTAATTTATAATACCCCTCAAATGATACATTAAACAATGTGTCTTGTTATAACCTTATGTGATAAAAATTCGGTGGGTCAAAAAAAAATAAAATATTATAATTATATTTTAGAGTATTAAAAATAATTGCAATCTTTTTAAAACTTTGCCAAGAGAATCTAATGTGATAAAACCTAAGCAAAGAAAAAAGAGTATAATTACTCTCCTTGATGTTGACAACCAAAGATCTTTGAGTCGATGCATCCTTATCTTGTGTACCAATTTTTTGAATGTAGACATTAAGGATGCTTTTGTAAATAAGTCAATCACGTTATTACTTGAGCGAAGTTTTTAAACATCAACATTATCAATCTTCCTAGTTATATATCTTGCTTGGCTCTACAAAATATTTTGCCACGTCTCATTTGATATAAGATTCTTTGAGGTGTACGGAACAACCTACATTATCCTTATACAATATTGCTGGACTAGCTTTTGCTAAAACTAATCTGCATGGTGTTTGGATATAAATGATCATATTCCTTGATCATACACACTCAATTTATCTCATAATCAATTCGCGGTCTTTATAAGAAATCTTGAACTACGATTGTTATTTTTAATATTTTTACAAAACTGGTGGTACAAAACTAGTGACACATCCCATGATTTTTCATTAACAATTTATTTCTATGTTCAACTATGAATATCCAAGATATGAGTTTTGAGTATTTTTTTGAAATTATGCTCACGAAATTACTATTGTAGGAACATATTCAATGTATGACAAATTATATATTTGTGTGTGTACACATACATATCATCCTTGAAAAATTAACTTCCACTTTTATTATTATTCCTAATTATTAATATTTCACATAACCTATGGAAAGTGTTTGATAGTGACTAAAATTAAATTTTTAGTAGATTTGAAATGTGTAGTTGAAAAGTTATGAAACCTATGAAAGATGTGATTAATATTGATTGTTTGACTTTAACTCAAATTAAAATCTGGACCAAACAGGGGCATAAACTTGAAATTTGTGAGTCAAAAATCAAATTTCTTAAAATTTAATTTATGAAAATCGGAAATTCAGGGGTTACAATTTGTAAATAGCCTTTTTTCTTTTTTCTTTTTAACCTAGAAAGTAAGGTTAGCCAGCCAAAAATAAAAAATAAAAGAATAAAACTAAAATTAAATAAAATAGGCAAATTGTTGTATAATAATTTACATATATATTGTGTCCATAATTCACGCCTAACAAGGCTGTCTCAAAACCAAAAATAGATAAGAACCCCTTTTTCCATATTGCATGATAACATTTGTGAAATCCCATCTGAACGAATTTTTCCATATTGAAAATCTCGAAATTAATCTCAAATACGGTTCGAATTCCATTGATTCCTATCATAAGGGTTGTTGAATAAAGCAAAAATATTCCTCCAATTTTTCTTCCACTCAGCAAGTTTTATGGTAAAAATTTCTTAATTCAAAGTGTAATTTTGACGCAGTTGGTAAAGGGCCATTAAACCAAGTCCGCCTTATTATTCAAATGAGGAATTAGGTAAGCCTAATTTTCAAAATAGACAGTGTTTTAGTTGGATACTAATCCACTTATATTCACGTATATATACACACATACATATGCAGGATTCTATGCAGTGTGGATCTATAGACAAGAATCCCATATGGAAGGCTTAGTACCTTGTAAGAGTTCTGACAGGAAGAGAGACAGACAGCCAATTTCTGTTCCATTTGTTTGGGAAGAGAAACCTGGAACACCCAAGAAAGACTGGAAACCAACTGCTCGTCCGATTAAGCCGGCTGCGCTGCCAGTCAAGCTTGTTGCATCTGTTCCTTTTGGATGGGAAGAGAAGCCCGGAAAACCACTTCCATGTTTCTCACAGTCGCTACCAGAATCAGAACCAGCACCGCCACAGACAATGAGCATCGACTTCTCATCACCTCCGAGTTACTCGGATAGTCAGGATGAAGATTGGTGTGGCAGCGAGGGAGACGTTGAAGATAACAGAGAAGGTGATCAAATGCTGGATTCAGAGATAGATACGTGCAGTTTCATAACAGGAGATTCCTTCAGCTCCGCTCCGTCTCTCCTCGCCAATGGCCTGATATCAAGCGCAGCGCTTTCGGGTGCAGTTCCTGAGCAGGAAACTTCATTTACACAGACAACAATCAACGGTGGGCAAATCCAAACTCCCTGTTCACCAGAAACAGACACTAGTACAAGCAGCTATGCAACAGGAACCACAAGCCTGGGTGGGGCTTCTTTCTTGGAGTGGCTCTTTCCTCTACTAGCACCTCGAACGAGTTTAGTTGACAACGTTGGCTGCTCAGAGAAGGTCACCTCTCACACAGCAGATGTACAAAATACAGATTTGCTACGTGAAAGCAACGGCAGTCTTGTAAGAAGACCACTGCTGACACTTGGAGAGATGATAATGATGAGCCGAAGAATGAGTTATAGAAGGAAAGCAAATAAAATCCATAAACAGCCATCTATGGTAACTATATTCTTCCCTGATTTTCGCTAATGATTGAATCAGCAGTTCAATTTTGAAAGACAGCTTTTCATTGGTGCAACTTACATTCGACAGGAACTTGTGAAAGGGAACGCCTTGGGTTGCTGCATCTTTGGACCTGGCAACGGCATCAGTAGATTACATTGGAAGTGGAAGAGGCAGCTGCAACTAAAACTGATGTAGAAAAGTTGGCACTCTGGCTTATTGTTCCATGCAATTAATTGGAGTCAAACTCCAGTTCATTCCATTCTGAAATTAGAGCATGTTAAATTATTACGAGTTTCTGCATGTAACGAAAAGATTTAAATTACTTCAATAATATCAGGATTGTGACTCCAACTAAAACAATGATGATGCCACCTTAAATCCTCAAAACACATTGTCATCACAATTAAGCGATGGTATATAGCCGGGCCATTTAGCTCCAATGATTCAAGACCCAGAACGTTTTTTATGCAGAACTTTTAAAAGTTTCAACAACTTTACGGATTCGATAAGTTTCAACAACTTTACGGATTCGATATTAACTACGCAAATCTTGTGCTTTTGTGATTATTATTTTCATGCTGTCAGATAATACTTTTCTTTTATTTACTAATCAGGTAGTACCGCTTCAGTCCGTAATTTTCAACATCTATATAAATTAAGTTTGATTTCAATTGTTATATTTAGTAACTCAGATGAATGTATATTTATGAAAAATGTTGTATCTACAGTGAAATGAACAATTGAGTTACGTTAGAAATTTATAGACAAACGCACTTGCTGTAAATTTACAGAAAGATGCGTTGTAAGAGGAAACAATCAACCATGCCATAAATCTACAAAATTTCAAAATTAATCCAAATCTTTAAGCCCAAAATATTTTTAATTTCTTTAACTTCTTCAAGTCAAAAAGAAAAGAAGTCAAAATGAACTACAGCCCTTTCCCAGTAAAGGAAAAGCACGATTTGGTAACGTATTTTTTTCATTCCAAATTTACATCTGAGAGAGATGATACATGCCAATAGAAAGAAATCAATCCCATTATTAACTAAACAAAGAACGATGTTCCCACTTCCTAGGATGAACAAATTTAACAAGAATGTCTGCAAGGAATCTTTTCGAAATCAATTAATCAAGCCCTATCTATGAGTCTATCTCCTTTACAGACTGGATTTTCCTTCATCAGAATAGCCCTAGCTGGAGTCTTGTAATCAAACTTGCATGCATGTGCCTCTGGATATCTATGCATCCCACAAAAACTTCCGCCACATTTACAACCAAAACCCGTTAATCCAACCTTCTTGTTACGAGATTTACATCTGTTGTTTACAATTGGAAGAGGATTAGCGTCGTTGTTAAGTGTAAGAGAATTCGTCGCATCGACCAATGGATCGATTAAAGAATTCGTTGAAACTGAAGGGCTGAAGGAGGAGGAAGCAGACGTTTCCTTGAAGCATATTGTTTCTGCAGATTTAGCTATCCTTTCTTTGAGAAAATCTTGATAGCACTTTGAACACAGACCATGATTTTGTGGGCTTCCATAAAATTTCTGGCATCTGCTACAGAGTTGCAGAGTTTCTTGTTGGCAGCTTTGCGTTTGATCCATTATCGGCTACGATCTCTGCCTCACCAGATGACTCGTCTGTAACGTACGGACTAACAGCTGAACAGTTCCGATCTTCTTCTATTTTGAATGATAGAATTTGGGAGTTTTCGAATGGAAGGGCTGAAGATTGTGCATGTATATATATAGAGGGCTTTGGGTGGTTAGTAGGCTCGGAATAGGAAATATATGTATACATGTTGGATATTGGTTAAATAAATCGATAATTGAAAATCGATTAAAGTGACTTCGTATCGACTTCGGCCAAATACTCAAAAGCTCGACTCAATCCGTTTAGGTAAAATTGTTTGCCACTTCGCCGCTTCGGGCGCACAATAGTCGAATTGATAAATGTTTTACATTCTCTCGAAACTCATTTTGAGAACTATATTGTAAAGACATCGAATGATTTAAATAACCCCCGAAAGAGAAATTTGATTTCTCTGCATGTATTGAAGGGTATATTTGACATTTCGAAAACCAATATCGGATGAATGAGAAATTACGAAAAAGGACGAAAATCAGGTCAAAATATTTGACCGTGCGACCGCATGGTTGGTAAACCGCGCGATCACACGTCAAAATTCAATTCCGATTTTTTGAGTAAATAGACACCTTTTCACAAAAGTGCATTGTTTGGAAAGGGTGCATGGTTTGGCCTCAAGCATTTCGTCCACACCCTTTCATGGTCTATAAATAGGACCCTTTGGGTGTCCTATTCCTCACAATTTGATATGCAAAAACATCTCTCATCCTCTCTTCTATCCAAAATCAAAATCATTTCATTTATTTTGATTTTCCTTAATTTCATCCTTGGAGTACATAAGCCTAAATTTGGTTCGTTGTACTTGTGTTTTGGAGTGCTACAAACAAAAGTATAGCCGTTGTATCTTGGGAGTCGATTGCCGAAATCCGTAAGCACCGTTGCGGGGCAAATTCGACTTAAGGACAAAGAGTCCAACTCTTGCCTCGGCTTTGTCCTTACTTTCTTCTTCTTCTTGTTTGTGTTTTCTTTGCCGTTACTCTGTCCAATTTTCGGCACGGATTTACAAACCATCATTATACTTATTTTGGCGTCACTATTCACAAAATTCCTCCAACAATACATATGGTAATATGAATCAAGAACGTTGAAGGGACGAATTTTGATTGGTTTGGATTGGTCAGAGACTTTGTTCAAATTTATATTTGGCAAGGACTAAAATTTTCATCGTATGGAAATCTTTCCTTTTTTGATCATTGTACTTTATTTTGTATTGAATCATTCTGGTAGTCTGACTTGAATGTTGATAAGGCATTTGATATTAGAGGACTTGGGGGAAAAAATTTTACTTGTTTAAAAATTGTTTATAAACCATTTAAATTATAAATGAATAAAAATAAGTAATAAATACATGGATAATATTTGTGGGTTGAATTGACGAATTATAAATATCTATAAACATTAACCAAACATGAGCTAAAATTGTTCAATATATTTAGCCTCTATTTGGGCTCCATTTTAGGGAAAAAAATGGTATTTTTTTTTATTTTTTTTAACCACACATTCTCGAATAAAAAGATATTATACATAAATTCAAAATTTTCCTTATTTGTTAACTCTACATTTAAAAAAAAAAATCACTATTTTAAAATAAATTTTCCCAAAAATTTATTTTTAGTAGAGCCCAAACAAAGGCTAAATTATTAATGTTAGAGAGACAAAAAGAAGAGATTTTAGCGATGTCAATAGAGAAGTGTGTATTATTGAAAATTGAAGGTTAATCGCATATGCACGCTTAGGTACCAAAATGCGCACGCATTGACGTTTAGAAAAATTAAAAATCAAAATTTTTTTTGGACCAGTTACAAATTTTTACGTCGGTGTTTATGTCAATCTAATTGTAGGAATTAATTGCGAATTAATTGTAATATTCATGATTTTAAGCAATATACTATTTTTTTTTCTTTTGAAAATTTGAAGAATATGTATAAAGTTTAAGTAATATATATATAGTTCAAAAAACGCATTATTTTATTTATTTATTAGTCAAATATCTAAAATAGTATTAAAAATTGAAAAAACACATACTCGATCAAAACGCATTGCTACACATTACATATTTTAGAACTTTGGCTACAGTGATAGAATTGCCACTCACTACTTAAAACCCTGTTTGAGCCGCATTATTTGAAAAAAAATACATTTTTAAACAATAATTTGACATCATTTCAACCACACATTTTTCAATAAAATAATATTATACAAAAAATTTTCTTATATTTTAACCACGTATTCTCTATTAATCTATTATTTCAAAATACATTTTTTAAAAATAATGTGGCTCAAACACACACCAATTGTAATTTACAATACCCCCTCGAATGATACATTAAATAATGTGTCTTGTTATAACCTTATTTGATAAAAATTTAGTGGGTCAAAAATATATATAAAAAAAAAAAAAAGGAAGAGAGAGAAAAAAATATTACAACTATATTTTAGAGTAATAAAAATAATTGCAATCTCGTTAAAACTTTGCCAAGAGAATCTAAGGTGATAAAACCTTAGCAAAGAAAAAAGAGTATAATTACTCTACTTGATGTTGACAACCAAAGATCTTTGAGTCGATGCATCCGTATCTCGTGTACCAATTTTTCGAATGTAGACATTAAAGATGCTTTTGTAAATAAGTCATTCACATTATTACTTGAGCGAAGTTTTTAAACATCAACATTATCAATCTTTTAAAACTCGTGTATAGTGGAATTTTGGAGAATGTATTTTCTCGTGTCTCATTTGATATAACATTCTTTGAGGTGTACGGTACAAGCTACATTATCTTCATCATAATCAATTTGAGGTCTTTATAAGAGATCTTGAACTACAATTGTTATTTTTAATATTTTTACAAAACTGTGGTACAAAACTAGTGACACACCCCATGATTTTTCATTAACAATTTATTTCTATGTTCAACTACAAATATCCAAAATATGAATTTTGAGAATTTTTTTGAAATTATGCTCACGAAATTACTATCGTAGGAACATATTCAATGTATGACAAATTATATATTAAATGAGTTTCACTGTGTTTTTAATTCTAATATTCGTGTGTGTACACGTACATATCATCCTTGAAAAATTAACTTCCATTTTTATTATTATTCCTAATTATTAATATTTCATATAACTTATAGAAAGTGTTTGGTAGGGATTAAAATTAAATTTTTAGTAGATTTGAAATGTGTAGTTGAAAAATTGTGAAACTTATGAAAAATGTGATTTATATTAATTGTTTGACTTTGATTCAAATTAAAATCTGAACCAAACAGGAGCATAAACTTCAAATTTGTGAGTCAAAAATCAAATTTCTTAAAATTTAATTTATGAAAATCGGAAATTCAGGGGTTACAATTTGTAAATAGCCTTTTTTCTTCTTCTTTTTTATTTTTATTTTTAACCTAGAAAGTAAGGTTAGCCAGCCAAAAATAAAAAATAAAAAAATAAAACTAACATTAAATAAAATGGGCAAATTGTTGTAGAATAATTTACATATATATTGTGTCCATCATTCACACTGAACAAGGCTCTGTCTCAACACCAAAAATAGATCAGAACCCCTGTTTCCATATTGCATGATAACATTTGTGAAATCCCATCTGAACGAATTTTTCCATATTGAAAATCTCGAAATTAATCTCAAATACGGTTCAAATTCCATTGATTGTACCATAAGGGTTGTTGAATAAAGCAAAAATATTCCTACAATTTTTCTTCCACTGAGCAAGCTTTATGGTAAAAATTTCTTAATTCAAAGTGTAATTTTGACGCAGTTGGTAAAGGGCCATTAAACCAAGTCCGCCTTATTATTCAAATGAGAAATTAGGTAAGCCTCATTTTCAAAATAGACTGTTTTAGTTGGATGCTAATCCACTTATATTCACGTATATATACACACATACATATGCAGGATTCTATGCAGTGTGGATCTATAGACAAGAATCCCATATGGAAGGCATAGTACCTTGTAAGAGTTCTGACAGGACGAGAGACAGACAGCCAATTTCTGTTCCATTTGTTTGGGAAGAGAAACCTGGAACACCCAAGAAAGACTGGAAACCAACTGCTCGTCCGATTAAGCCGGCTGCGCTGCCAGTCAAGCTTGTTGCATCTGTTCCTTTTGGATGGGAAGAGAAGCCCGGAAAACCACTTCCATGTTTCTCACAGTCACTACCAGAATCAGAACCAGCACCGCCACAGACACTGAGCATCGACTTCTCATCACCTCCGAGTTACTCGGACAGTCAGGATGAAGATTGGTGTGGCAGCGAGGGAGACGTTGAAGATAACAGAGAAGGTGATCAAATGCTGGATTCAGAGATAGATACGTGCAGTTTCATAACAGGAGATTCCTTCAGCTCCGCTCCGTCTCTCCTCGCCAATGGCCTGATATCAAGCGCAGCGCTTTCGGGTGCAGTTCCTGAGCAGGAAACTTCATTTACACAGACAACAATCAACGGTGGGCAAATCCAAACTCCCTGTTCACCAGAAACAGACACTAGTACAAGCAGCTATGCAACAGGAACCACAAGCCTGGCTGGGGCTTCTTTCTTGGAGTGGCTCTTTCCTTTACTAGCACCTCGAACGAGTTTAGTTGACAACGTTGGCTGCTCAGAGAAGGACACCTCTCACACAGCAGATGTACAAAATACAGATTTGCTACGTGAAAGCAACGGCAGTCTTGTAAGAAGACCACTGCTGACACTTGGAGAGATGATAATGATGAGCCGAAGAATGAGTTATAGAAGGAAAGCAAATAAAATCCATAAACAGCCATCTATGGTAACTATATTCTTCCCTGATTTTCGCTAATGATTGAATCAGCAGTTCAATTTTGAAAGACAGCTTTTCATTAGTGCAACTTACATTCGACAGGAACTTGTGAAAGGGAACGCCTTGGGTTGCTGCATCTTTGGACCTGGCAACGGCATCAGTAGATTACATTGGAAGTGGAAGAGGCAGCTGCAACTAAAACTGATGTAGAAAAGTTGGCACTCTGGATTATTGTTCCATGCAATTAATTGGAGTCAAACTCCAGTTCATTCCATTCTGAAATTAGAGCATGTTAAATTATTACGAGTTGCTGCATGTAACGAAAAGATTTAAATTACTTCAATAATATCAGGATTGTGACTCCAACTAAAAAAATGATGATGCCACCTTAAATCCTCAAAACACATTGTCATCACAATTAAACGATGGTATATAGCCGGGCCATTTAGCTCCAATGATTCAAGACCCAGAACGTTTTTTATGCAGAACTTTTAAAAGTTTCAACAACTTTATGGATTCGATAAGTTTCAACAACTTTAAAGGAATCTCCCTTGCATTTAACGTTGAAAAACAGCATCAGAAAAATCCAGGTTCAAAACAATGGCAGGGCGACACAGGAGTTACACTAATCTTGGCTACATTTAAGAGTTTATTCCAGAGCTCAACCTCTCCTTTCTCGTTGTAAGGGCTGATTAATATGCTCAAATCAATCCAGCAATATAAATGTGCACTGCTTTTTGTGGATTCACCTCTCTCAAACCCTCTACAAATAAATCATGCATCATCTTTATTCTCTCTCTGCCTTTGTGTATTCCTGGGTACATTTTTAGAAAGAATTGAAACTACAAGCCGCTAATTTCCTGGATGCAGCGAAAACATTTTCATTGAAGGGAATATATACCTCCAACTCTGAATCCAGGAAGAAAGAAATCTTTGGACAGCCCATATATGTGAACCCTATCCCTGTCAGAATCTTAAGAATTGAGAACCACCGTCATGCTTACAAACTCTTCGTTGCCATACATTGAACAAATATTTCATTATGTTCCCTCTATCGAAGTCTAGGAGATCATAGAGCACATCTCTCGACAACAGGTTTCCAACTGGATTAGAAAATTTTGAAATGAGTACTCCACGGACCTTTTGACCTCGCTTTCTTCATTGATAAGGCTTGATCAAGAGCCTTTATACTAAAGGTGAAGTCATCACAGCTACAACGGTGAACAAGAATTAGCTTCATACCAGTCCACCATCTCATGTCCCTATCAAAACTGCAGGTTGATAATATAATTACACCAGGCTTAAAGTCATAAAAAGGAGAAACGCCGAAGAAAATCAAACTGAAAGAAAACAAAAAACAAATGAAGAAATGAACTCAGAATTAGAAACAACTCGATCCATAAATGAAAGAATAGAAAAATTATACACCGTACACTATTGTAGAAAAAAAGTAATACATATTACCCAGGATAATAGGGTGTGGGAACAAGGAATGCATTCCCTTGGTCGGCTGAGCAAAAACTGAGTGTCTCAAGTACAGAAGTTGCACCAGATGTCAATGATGGGATAGATGACACCATTCTTCCCATAACTTCTGTCATAAAACCTGTCATGGCCTGCAGAATTTGAACAATCTTAATATAGATCATAGGCAACTGTTACATAGTTGGTTATGAATTCGCATAGAAATCGTGGTAGCGAATACAAATTATTACAGTACAATGAATGCAAAATTCATTTGATAGAGCAAAATAAAGAAGGAAATAAATGATTCTTGAAACACCAAAAGGTTATATACACATATAAACACACCCATTCAACCCAAAGAGATAAATGTGAAAGATTTGAAATTGCTACCTGAACGATGTCTGGCATTTTAGTGCAAAAGCAAACCTCGTGTGAAATCACTAACTATTTGTTTCTCAAAAAAGAAACTATTAACTTTCTTTTTCAGTTCCTCTCTTTAAGGCTCCTACATGCACACAAAGTTTAACTTATGCATTCACAATATAGCATTAAGATCTCCATTTAGAAACTAACATCGTGAACTAATTTATAGTATCCATCATAGTTGTCCAAATGTAACGCGACTAAGAGAAATTTCTGTGGTAAAACAGTATAATCAATTAACCCACAGGCACTCAAACTATCAACTTCAGGTAGCCTAATTGCCGATCAATAAGCGTTTGTGATATTAACGAGCATGTTTGGCTAAGTTCATGAAGTTTATATAACTAAGTTTCAAACAAATATCTTTTCATTAATCAAGATTGGAAATAAGCAAGTTACTTTCAAAATAAATAACTTAGCTAAACATGCTCTTCTCCAAGCCAAAATCTTTCTTAACATGAGTCACATTATGGCAAAATGAAATAGCTTTTACAGGCTTATACTACCTAATCAACATTTCAAATTTAGTTATTATGAGCTATTTACATTTCTAGTCGAAGATTATAACATCGATAGGTTAAATACCACTTTCAGCTCCATCAATCCATCCGAGGATTGGTAGGTTGCAATTACACGAATATTCAGATCATCGTCTCCTTCTCCGAGCATTGAACCACTTAAATTATTGGAAACCCATTCCTCAATAAAATCCAAAGACAACTTCAGAAGGGGAAAAATTAAAGATTCAGAATTCAATTCATAGAAATGCGGAATTTCAAATAAGTATAAACAATAAGTAATAGATGCCAACATGAATCCTATTTTCGGACTATCCCAGCTGAATAATTCCATTCGGTTTATTCGTTTCGCCGTATTGGTCCTCCAGGACCCTAGCTAACCCAATGTAATACGGAGAGTCGTTAGGCTTCACAATGGAGCTCGCCCTAGCTGAGACGCGGACGCGCTCAATCGATCCACGCGTCAGCAAATCATGATGAAGAGCAAGGCAGCTCTGGGAGGTTCTACGCTGACATGGACGGCGACGGACGGCTAGAGGAACGGTGTCGTTTTATGTATTAGCGAGCCTAGTAGTAATTCACCCCTGCCCTGAACTATAATCCTTGTAGAAAAAACTGAGGCGTCGTTTGTTTTCCATTTTTATCAAAAATGTATTTTTCTTTATTTTTTTTTTAATCACACATTTTTTATTAAAATAATATTATACGTAAATTAATAACTTTTCTTTATTTTTCATCCACACATTCTCCATCAATCTACTGTTTCAAAATTCATTTTCCAACAAAATAGATATCAAACACTCTCCGAATATATAGAATTATTTTCCACAGACAGATTACATACCCTCACGCCCGATGAACCCCACATATATTAAAATATTACGAAAAAAATGATTCATCCACCATAGAATGTGTGTGTGACTGTGTTCTATAAAGGTTCTATACCTTTTTTTCTATAAGTCTAGCTTTGCTCTTCCTTGTAGGGGTACTATGAGCCACATGCTGCTCTGCGTGGGTTTTGGGTTCGGAGTCCATGTTACGTGTCACGTGAGTAGTCAGTGAGTCTACAACGAAGATAAGGATCACGTGAGCAGTGATTTTTGTTTGTGTTTCTGGAAGTTTGTGGATATTTTACTTTGGCTCGTACGGCAAGATGGGCTTTTGGCGTTGAAATAGTTTTTTGAGGAAATTACATTCTCCCAGGACTTTCAAGTTCACTGTGCATAAATCATAGACTCAACTTTTCCAATCAAATATTCGATATAACCCTAACCCTAAAATTCAAATTCATTTCACTCCATCCTTCATTCTCTCTCTCCCTCCCGTCTTTCGCTCAGTCTCTCTCTCTCTCCCCCTCCCGTTTCTCTATCCTCTCCATCACATGAGCAGTTGCTGTCGCCAAAGACCACGACATCATAATGACGACCTCTTCCGAACATGTGAGCGTCATTGCACAATGGCTCACAACGCTGGCGTCGCTGTAGATACCAAGAAGAGTAGTGATGATTGCTGTCACTCGAAGTAGATGCGACGTACAATTGGACGCTAATTGGTTGTCGAAGCAAATTCATGACCTCGTCGTTCTTCTATGTTCAGTAGGTAGTGATTTTGGGTGTTACCTCTTTCGCTTTTCGATTTGTAGGTTGTGATTTTGGGGTTTTGTTGGTTGTATTTTCAGATCTTGGCCATCGTTTTGGTGCTGATGTTGGTAGTAGGATCTGATTGTTGGTGGTTTTGGGAGGGGATGTGGCTGTAATGTTGGTTGTGGAAGTGGTGGCGGTGGTTGTGGTGGGATGCTGTGAGATACGAGTGTTTGTTAGCAGTTGTGGTGGTGTGATAGTGGTGTTTCTGGTTGGTTTCTTTAGCCCTTCTTACAGTCTACTAATAATATATTTATATAATAAAATATTTTACACGTTAATCAAAATATTTTTTTTCCTTTTAACCTCATATTTTTCGAAAAAAATTACTATTTAAACTCTATTTTTTTTTTCAAAACAATGATCAAAGTGTTTTAATTATTTATTTATTTATTTATCTATTATCCAAATATTTCGTCAATTTACAATTATTCCTGTTGAAAAGTTACTAGATAAATACTTTTCTGAGGTTTGACGGACAAGTTAATAGAATTAGTACTTGTGAAAGTTGATTTTTTTGGGTTACTCGGTATTTATAGATGTGTAGCATGATTGTTGTTAATGAATAGTCGCTTGTCCAGATTTAAATACGGGGAGAGAAAAGGCTGACTGATGTATCAGAAAATGATTGGATATTATTATTTTAATTTTTCAAACTGTCAAATCATGCATCGACACATGTTTCATCTAAATGTATAACATGATTGACTGTTAATAGATCTTTTTCACCTCTTTATCTACCTATATGTTACCTACACGGTCAGACACCATTAAATGCCAACACCAATGATCGACCCGTGACCATTGGTTACCTTGTTGCTGATGTTTGTAAATATAACACAATTCTCTTGGCTTTTAAAATTTATCTACAATAATTTTAGGTATATTGCTTCAATAAATTTCCCATCTAAACTTAGCTCTTCAAGGAATGTAACTGTCCCTCAACTTGTCAAATTGAGAAAATGTCTTTCCCCAAGTATAATGGTGTTAAAAGGATTTTCGCCCTATCAAAAGGATCATGTGGGCACCCCACACCACCTCGACACCTGAAGGCGAACAACATGCCCTTTATCCCCTCGACCATGGAATGGACGAGCCAAGACAGAGGTTGGGTTATTATCGACCCACTCAGTTCAATGGGTTGCTTTGAGGCAATCGTTTGAACCCAATTTGTGTCATTGAAGCACTAAAAACTTACAATATAAGATGAGCAAAGCACGAAAGACCTCTCAGAAAGTAAATGAGAGGGACAAACATGGGACGACTAATTCTGGTTCAACATTGTATCGCCCTCTTAAATCCATTCTTCTGGTGAAAGCTGGTTATATTAAAAATCAATCCAAGTGACCACATTCTCAAGTCTCATCAAAGACGAGGTTAAAGCATTGAGGAAGGATAATGATGACAAAGAGCAGGAAGATATCCCATTACACCAAATCATTAAACTTGATGAGGAAAAAAAGAAAACGCGGGAAGTTTCACGTTGCTGTTAAGATACTGGATCGGCATTGTGCCATCCCTTGGTGCACGGTGGAATGCTCATGAATTCATCAAATTCTTTAACATGAACGTCACAGCATTTCCACTGCAATGTTAACGAGAAAAAGAAGAAGCTTCAGCCGATTATAAGAAACAAAGTAACGAAGAAACTGTATTAAAGTGCTGTGGGGGGGGGGGCAACAGCAGCAGCAGCAGGAGATGTGTATATTCTCACCCCTCGAACCCGGTCATGGAAAACAGCTGGGCCAGGATGGTAACTGCAGGCAGTATCATGATTATCCTTCTCTTTAAAAGATTTACCACATCCCTTATTTCTACAAACTTGAGGCTGGTTTACATCGATGATCTTCTTTGCTTGGGGCGGTTGGGAGTCCTGCGCATCTGGATTATTTTCAAAAGGTGCGTCTATAGCAGTATTAGACTCTTTCGGTTTCAATTCTCTCACTTGCGAACCTGAACATCAGGATTCAGGTTAAGACTCCAATAAGAATATCAACCATGATGAGACTAAAACGCATGTGGATATCAAATTATTTGTTCTGTCTGGGCCATACTTGCTTTTTCGAATGTGTTGGCAGCAACAAATTATCTACAAAATAATGTATCCATCGGAACTCAAAAAAGTAAAATTAGAATAGATATACCATGATCAGAACAGAAGAATCCTTGTTGACACCTCAAACAAGTGTCCTTCAATGATGAATTGGTTGCAGGAGTTGGAGCCAGAACCGATTGCTTAGGAGGTGCAGCTGCCTTTACAAGCACCGGTTTCTCAGTCGTGTGCTTTCCTGTCTTACAACTTCAGTTAAATAGAAGAATAAGATTTTATTGACAAGTAGACAATTATAAGCTGTAACAATGTTAAATTAAATTCATTAAAAAAATAAAATGGATTACCATCTTTCTTGAGGATTAAATTTTTTGGCAACACATTCTTTATTTTTATGGAGTTAAAAGTAAGGGATAATTGAAATACAGTGAACATAATTGGAAAAATGCAAGGATATTCCTCTCTGAAAGTGATTGGATAGTAATTTGAAAAACAAATAGGTAAATATATTATTAATACAGGTATCAGTTAATGCCAAACAGGTAAAATACCCTTCTGAGTAAATCCTAACTAAAATACCAAATATCTACTGCTCAGGGGCCTTCACTACCTTTAAAGAAAATCATACTAACAAGGAGGTGTGCCCAAATGCTACAGCAGCATGTAGAACAGTTTCACGCAGATAATCAAAAATCGAGAATGCTGACAATTGTATCATGCTTATCTATACTACCAAAAATTGACCTCGATATTTCAGTAAGAGTGTTTAATAAAACATTCAAGCTTGGAATACCCAGGAATTTCGAGAAATAAACTGAAATCATGACTTCTTTTCTTGCAACAACTCCATTCTTTCATCCCATCGTGAAATATTGGCTGCAAATGTAGCAAAATTTCGATATTAGCTTTTGAAAATATTTAGGAATTCTTGAATAAATCGAAGGATACATCACTTACACCCTGAAGAAAATTCCACAGCAGGTGAACCGCACCAATGCATGAGAAAAAATAAATAAATTAATGATTATTACCAAAAAAAAAAAAAAAAATTATATTGAGAGGAGAATGGGGAGTTAAGCAATGGCCACACCATAATTTGGTGTGTCAAACAATAATTAAATCCTTCAGGATAATAAATAGTTATCGACACATAACCTGCAATATATAGCAAAAACCCATTTAAGGACAAATCAAAACTTTCTTCAAGAAAATATGTTGATGATATAACTATCTGAACATCTTCCAAGATAGTTCTAATTCTGCTGTTATTGTGACACATTGCATCAACATTGAGTAAATGCAAACGCATATGATTGGCCCACTCCTCTTTAATTTATTATTCTTTAGGTACTAATTGTTGGATGGGTAAAAGACAAAATATCCATTAGTTGAACATAGCATAGATGATAATGCTAAGATATATGTGAGTATTTACTAGAATTGATTCTAAAAAATGAGAATCTAAGCCAACAAGTGGAGGTAGCATTGAATGAGGTCAAATCTAAGGACGGACAACTGAGGTGTTAAAACATGTCTTTCATAAACCTAAAGAATCTTCCATCCATAATAGTAATGTAATCTCAGTATAATAAGCTAGAGGGAGTAGACTAATATGGCCTATTATGGTTGCTAAACATTTGGTCGCTTAAGAAATTCAACTTCCAATAAATGTATGAACAAGTCGACAAGCATGGATTTGTTCCCAACCCCATATATTTGGAACAGGGGTTAGTTTGTTGTCGTATTAGTATTACCACTAACTTGCCACCCATAATAGAGCTCTAAATGTAGTCATCATTCTTATGACCAACCAACCCACCAAAATAGACCGATAAATAACTGGCTCTGCAAGTTCTTTGCTGCTACTCGTAGCTCTTGCCCCTCACATTTTCCACCCACGAAGCACATAAACAGATAAGAGAGGAACTCATCACATATTACATTAAACAAAAATGTGCAAATCTCCTCCACCCCCCTCTTTCCGTAGAGGTCAGTTAAATTTTTTCTACCATGGCACTGGGTAATGTCGACATTTGGATTGGTGAAGGTATGGATTCGCAAAGGAGATAGTCTGAGATTTTAAAAAAAAAAATGAGGATTCAATTTTACTGACTGGCCGCAATGTCCTCTGATCCATGGGAAAAGAGGTAGGCACCAAAAGAAGAACTCTGAGGTTGATCAGAAGGCCAAGATCTGCGGTTACTTCAGTTCACTCGAGAATTTTATCAATTGGGTGTATATCAATAATCAAAGGTAGTTAAGTGATGAGATCACAAAGTTAGAGACTAAGCTAGGGTTTGAGAGGTTAACGGGATGTTACCATCATTATTATTATGATCATGGTCGGCCACAGCAGCGGTGGTGGCCTATCCAATTACAGTTATTGTCTAAATTTATATGTTAATCAACTGACAAGTTCTCGAAAGTCGTTGAAAAACAACTTGGCACAAGGAATAGTCTTGCAGAAGAAGACGCCTTTTGAATTTATGCCGAATACAGAGAAATACAGGCAGGAGTGCATAATTCGCTGAATCTTAAGTCCTATCAACTGAAATTCCTCTGAAAAAACTGAAACAGTCTCCAATATAACGCATAATACAAATTATACAGAACACAAAAGAATACAGGCAAGAATGCATAAATCTACTTTGGGCCGGGGGGGGGGGGGAGAGGGAAGTGTAATTACGGCATCGTGAAAAGTACAGGAACCATCTGGGTTATCATCCACCGTAAACATGGCGTCGCATCCGATTCTCTGGCATCGAACTTTCTCCATTCTAGACCACCGTGAGAGAGGGAGACTTCCAGAAGCACCGCCCGGAACGGCACCTTATAGGTCAAATTTGAGTTAATTTTTCCAATGGTCACTCAAGTTAGGTCCATATTTTTTATTGGCATTGAAATTTAAAATATCAAAATTTTGCCACTAAACTTTAAAAAATATCGAGTTTTGATCACTGAATTTAGGTCTATGTCTTTGATTGGTCACTGAATTTTAAAATGTCGAATTTTGACCACTAAACTTTGAAAAATGTCGAGTTTTTATCACTGAACTTAGGTCCATGTATTTGATTGCTTACTGAAATTTAAAATGTCAAATTTTGGCCACTAAACTTTGGAATATGAAAAATATAGAGTTTGCAGTTAATAATATACAACGTTTTTCAAAATTCAGTGAGTAATGTATAATATTTTTCAAAATTCAATGGCCGAAACTCGACATTTTAAATTTTAGTGAGTAACAAAACACATGAACCTAAGTTCAGTGATCAAAACTCGACATTGTTCAAAGTTCAGTTGTCAAAACTCGACAATTTTTCAAAGTTCAGTGGCCAAAACTCGACATTTTAAAATTCAATGGCCAATCAAAAACATGAACTTAAGTTCAGTGACCAAAACTAGACATTTTAAAATTCAGTAGCCAATCAAAGACATGGACCTAAATTCAGCGACCATTGGAACAATTAATTGGTTAAATTTATTATTAGTGTTAAGAGATAATTGCAGCAAAAACTCCTAATCGTTGAAGCACTAGTAGATTTTTTTCAAATATTTCATCTGTTACATACGCCATCTCTAACCCTTTCAGCCATTGTAGGTGAGACCATTTTGGATTGTTTCCGTCCAAAGTTGACCACCAAAATAAGTTTTGACCACTTTCTACCAAAATAAGGGAGGGCAAAATGGTAACTTAATATTTTTACCATAAAACTAGTAAAAAAAAAAATTGAATAAAAAACAAAATGGGTTGTGCACAATCAAGAATGCACAATGATGAATCAGTGTCAATCCGACGCCACCTTGAGCGACTACGGTATCGTGAGGTGTCGTCGCGCCCGCCAGCTATAGTAGTGTCCCCGGAGATCTAACTCTTATGGAGCAACTCCCGCCTTTTGTGGTGGAGTCCAGTGTGCCTCCTCCGCCACTCTTGAGCTTTTCCCCTCTCCCACCCATTTTACATTCAATGACCATACCTACTGCGCTCTCTCACTCGAAGAAAATGAAGAGAAAAAAAAATGAAAGGTATTGCTATTGATGAGAGTGATAAAGAAGAGAAATGAAGGCTTAATAGAATGAAAAAAAAGGATCGAGGAGGTGGGCCCCGAAATCCCAATAAGAATCCCTAATCTTCCTTCGCCACTAGTCCTCAAAATCATGGCCTGGGATTACTTTTTCATGGGAGACAATATGCTTGGTCAATCATTGGAGGAGGTGGAGGAAGAAGACGATGAGGAGCATTATATGGGAGGACAAAAGGGCACTAAAAATGGGCATTTCAAAAAGTAACAATAACATGGAGTTCAAGACGGCGGAGAAAAATATGGGATTCCCAACACATCCTACGGCAACCTTAGTTTATATTACATATGCATTGGAGGGTTTTTCTCTTATCTCTATACATATGTGTCTATATATGTATTTGAGGATGTGAATGGACAATAGATTCTAGGTGTGCCGATGGTTAGGGATTTGATGTGGTGGTTGTGGAGGTGGTGGTCGGTGGATAGTAACAGTGGGTATTGGACAGAGGTTGAAGAAGATTAAGGAGTTTTTATTTATTTAATTTAATTTTTATTCTTTTTGGTTTTTCCAATTTAATTACTCTTTTGTCCCATTTAAAATTGAAGAGACGATTTTACCGTCGCCTATTATGTTTAAAATGGTCAGCGATGCTATCAAAAATCGTACCTGTAGATTTCTCGAGCTTGATAACTGATGAGGAGCGCGAACGTGATCTTCCGGTACCTGAAACAAAGGCAACGAGGTGTGTTCTTGTCGCCCCTTCAATGCTTAAGTCAGAAAGGGAATTTTGTGCATGAGGTTATATGCTGAAAAACAATGAAAAACGTACCTGAATAATGGCTCAAGGTTTCGTATTTATAGAGGTAGGTGGTGTGTTCATACTAGGATTCCGTAGTGCACCTGCAGTAGGACAGTTTGATTTTGCAATCTTATACCAATGGGTCCTACGCGAGATAGGAGTTTGAATTGCGGTATAACTGTAATACCAATTATTTAATAGAGTTCTTCTGGGCATAGGAGACATGAGTTGAGAATTTTTAGTCAGAATAAATTTCTCGTTGGATAAGGCGTAGGTCATAATCCCGAGGACATGTCGAATGATTGTCGAATAACTCTTGGGGCTAATAGCTCGGGCATATGGAGATACCCGAGCACATATGTCCCAAGCATATTGGTAAACATATCGACGAAATAGAGTCCTCGGGTTTATATACGTCGGGAACAAATACTTGGTTATATCAGTCAAATTTTAATTTTGACGGTCAACTAACAGTATAAGAGATGGTTTTCATCCATTTAGGGCCTCACCTACAACGATTGAACATGTTATGAGTGATGACTGCAAAAAATGAAAAGTTTTGAAATAAATCTACTAGTATCTCAAAGGTTTGGAACTTTTATTGCAATCAGTGGCGAATCTAGGTAGTAGCGAGTTAGGGCGGCCGTCCTAGCTGGATCTGCCGGAAGCATTTTTTTGGCTGACAAAAGATTAACGTTTTAACTTATATTACTGATAATTCTTTCTTCTTTCTTCTTTCTTCTTTCTTCTTTCTTCTTTCAAGCTCCCCTTCTAGTTAGAAATGGTTAGAGCACACATTTACGCTTTACAAGTCTCGGTTTCAAATCTTTTCATAGCCAATTTATTGTGCAAATTTTTTAGTTTTACAATTTCTACCAAAATCAATGCAATAGGAAAGGGTTGAATGAAATTCGAACCACGAACTCCTATTTTGAACATTGAAAGCCAGACCACTTTGGCAGCCATTGTTTTTTACACTTAATTCAACAAAATAATATATATTACATTTATTAGGTTTAATGAAATTATAAAGATTCAAGATTATGCTCTCCCTTTAAATTATACGAAACTTGGCAACAATGTCATTGATAAATATACGGTTTATTCTTATAATATAATTATATATGTTCAATATGAACAAAATAATTGTTATATTTAAATTTTAGGCCTTGTTTTATTTTTATTTTTTTTTTCAAAATACATTTATATTTATCTTATTTTTAACAATATATTCTTCAATCAAATTCAAAAAATTTTCCTTTTTTTAACCTTACGTTCTCCATGAAATCACTATTTCAAAATGTATTTTTTGCTAAAAAAGGACATCAAACGAACTCTTAATACTTTATTGTGGCTGACGGTCGACAATCAATGGCTGCCTGTGCTGACTCAAAATTCTGAATTCGCCACTGGCTGCAATTATCTCTAATGTTAATTATGTGTGTTTGGACTTCGTCTCATTTTTTAATAAAATAATGTTACATGTAAATTAATAAAATTTTCTTACTTTTTAGTAACATATTTTCAAAATATTCTCCCCCCCC